GGAAAGCTAGAAATACGTGCCAATAGAAATAATGCCTTTTCTTGCAACGTTGACAAGCAGTGGTCGAGTACTTAGGAGCGGAGAAATTTGCCCAGCTGACCTCTATATTTTCGTAAAATAGCGTGTGTGCCCCTAACTTCTTGGTAAACTGAGTCCTTGTAATTCTGCCCTTATACGTTCTACAAGGATCACGTGGTACGAAGAGAATCCTCACACGAGGACTGTTTCTCACAGGAATGGCAGTGAATTAAACGTGCGAGATGATTCGCTCACCTCGTACCAAACTCGAATACATGGCCCATCCCAACGCCTCGAATAAAACATTTCCTTTCATATTCTACGCATGAACTGTGCTGAAACGAGGGCGAGACTGTTGGCCAGCAAACCAGAAATTCGACCTCAACGTGATGAATGAGAGTATCGTCGGGCTGATTGTAAATGCGCCCCAAAATCGGATTACACCTCGTTTTTCTCTATGCCACATCATTCAAGCGTCACATTCAGTCCGTGTGTCCGTGTCCGTCTCTATAAAGCCTTCACTGGACATTCAGTACTTACTAGCATCTTTTTTCACTGAAATGCACAGAACATGCTGCTTATTGCTACTGTTAGCCGGGACTGTCACCTGTCAATTAGGGCTCTATGGCAATCCCTATGGAATGGGTATGGGTGGACTTGGAATGGGTATGGGTGGACTAGGAATGGGATACGGTCTAGGTGAGTTTTCACTTTACAAGAGGCAATTTCTTTTAGCTATGCTTTATTACTGCTCTCATTTTGATCATTATAGTGGACTAACGATACTACTAAAAGTTGGCCATGTGCCATGTGGAACTGATTTTTTTAGATGCAAGACATTGGTCGCACTTTTCCAAAGGCCCCTGGAGCCAAGAAAGCATTCCATAATAAAAATTTTGAATACTCAGTTGGTTCACCAATCGAAAACATTTTTGAGTTGGGATTTCGGAAATTTTTGCGCTAGCCGACTGAGGAGGAGAGGTTATTTTGAAATGGGCGGTTTTCTGAAACCGTTTACGTCTTCTCAGGGCTACAGAAAGGTAGTATTCTTGCATTTTACTGCTCTGATATGCTTTTTATGGGGGTTGGCATAAAAAACTAGGAGGTGCAAAAAAGGATTGTGAGCCAGAGGGGTAAGATTTTCCTGGTTCTGAGGGGGAAAAACTCCTGGATTGTAGGAACAGTATGATTTTATCGCTCTCGCAGCTGTGGCTTTGGGATTCCAAAATGGTCGCAGTAAGTGCCATAGTAAATGAATAGAATGCGAAAGCACCACAGACACTGACCTCCGCCTCTGTGCCCTAAGAATCCGTCAAACCAGCATGCATGGGATCTAATGGCGCTTGACGATACCATTGACTTTCAGGGTTGAGTCTGACGTTCAGGGTTGAGTCATGAAAAATGAATCAAGGACCAAATGTGCGCTCGAAGAGCTGAATACTTGGATCTTTTATCGTTGTAGCGACACTCCCCATAGGATTCTGCACCTGTCTTCGACCGTGGAGGCTGGGGCTTTCAGTGAAGCATCTTAGGAACATACACTATGGGTCCCTCATGTAGCTTGCTTCCTTGTGCGAAGAAAACTTCGGTGGTCCACTCCACAAAAGAAGAATCTTCTTTTCCATAAAGCCCGCCAGGGCTCACATTTACCCCATGAAAATCCCATCTAATTACCCAGTAATTTCTTCTTGAAATGTTCGATCTACAAATAATTTCGTGCTCAAGTCAGGTTTTTTATTCAAGCTGTTGCTTAAGCTGATGGCGCATACCTGATTATTTTCGGCCACTGTATTTAATTACTGTTATGCTATATATTCGAAATATTATTTACTGGCGCACAAACTTACCCGGAGACCTATTATCTAGTGGACGGTTTCTGTGGCTCACTCCGTGGCTAAAAAATGAGACAAATAATGAGGTGAAAACTGCTCAGAATGAACAAACAATAGCGCTCCGCCACACTTATGAAAACCTTCAGTGAGCTTGAAGAATGTTGGTGTGGCGGTGGAATCGTCGTCACTAAGCAAAGAAGGTTTGCTGTGGATCGAGTCCTAGCATGCAAATCCCATAAATACATTTGCCAGTCCTTCTTCAAAAGAATGTTACAGTCCGTTCGCTGCGAATACTGGGTCATTTCAAGGGAATTTGGCGCGGCGCCCCTCCCTTTTCGACCGATTCTTGGAGTGGGCAAGCGACAGCACCTGGTGGAAGACGGATTGGTGCCGCGCCAAGTCCAGCATCTCAAGCCTCTGAATTCGTAGCAAACGAGACTGTAGTTACAACAGAGTGGATGAGAAGAGTGCAAGGGTCCCTCCGCAAACATGAGGATTCAAAGAGTCTCACATATTAGGCTGGTCACTTATCCAACCATTTCTCAGCGCAGAATTTCGTTATGTTGCGGTTTCTGTCACATTCCGTTACATTTTGCTACAGTTTCCTCTTAAGGCTGGCTTTCCATTACTAATCAGAACCTAGACCAAATGTTTTGCTGCATTTTGATTGTTTTCTTCTGGCTAGCGCTAAGTAACGGCAGTTTCCCGTAGTGGGCAACCGTTTAATTGTCGGCCCATGTTGCCAACAACCGGAATCGATTGAGTTCATGGCAGAGATACGGGTTCTCGACAAGTAGAACTACATAAGCGGACATTCTGAGTAAGAGTGAGAACACACTGCTCCTTACGAATTTTCCAATTTTTATTTTTGCAAGTTTTGATGTGGTGCAGCATGAAATTCCGTTGGTCGTCCCAAAAACTCGACAGCATTTGGAGTCTTTGGATTCCCCCATCGAGCATACTGAGTTTGTCTAAAATTATTCGAAGAAATAATAGCTGCTGACCCGCTTTGTCGAACCGAGGGTGAGTTCTGGCACTGCGAAGTGAATGTGGCGTGCAAGTACATAGTGTGATAGTTTTGGCGCGGCCGCATCCTTGTTTCCACCAGTTGTTGTGCGGTGAGTAAGCACCATCAATCGTAGACAACGCCGAGTGGATAGGGATATGGTTTTAATACAGTCTTCGTCGCTCGGCCGAAGGGAAAAAGGAATAAAAAACGGGGCTGCGCGTCGCTCTACACGACTAATCCCGCTTGAAACTTGCCTGTGCATCCCGCAGCCAGCGAAGACTGTAGAAACTTCAATTCTTCTTGTTCTCAATGCTGCACGAGATGCCAGAAGATATCTGCGTTACATAGGATGCAGCATTCAGTCAACAAAGTCAATGACCACCATGGTCCACCACGCATGTTTGACGCTCCGCTAGACCATCGAGTCCGAAAAGTCTGTGCAACGAAGGAGCGTGAAATTTGATTTGCAACTTGCGGCTGCAGGCAAAAGTCTGTTTTCCAGGAACGGCAGGACTTCCTCCAACGACTCATAGCAAGAGATCAGAAATCTGTGTTATGTGTTGTACGTTTACAATAACATCACATTGGCTCCCACCTTCCAAACCGTCACCGAGAGAGCTGAATGTACTGTTGCGGAATCCAAGAGAATGGCTTAATGGGGAAATTGCCGCAATTGCTTGAGGAGTTCCATCACATCCTCTTTATTTTCCTGGTTTGATCCCGTCAGAGCAACATTTGCATCTCCCACAGAAGCTGCATCTACGAAAAGGAAAGTCAATGATCAAAAAAAGCTGGAAAATACAATTGCGCGCTTCTACGATCCGCTGAACATTACTCGCTACTCAGGCAAGTGTAATGCGATGGGGATCAGAGTAATCAAAGGATTAGAGCAAATTCATTGCTTACCGTCCGCACGGTGAGCCCTCTTGTAGGCTTATGGTACCTGATGCCTGATCACTTGGGAGACTTGTACAACTCCCAAGGCGGCGCTTTCTCCCCTACGTACCTCTGACCACAACCAGGCGGTCAAACTAGTTGAAAAGTTCTGTTTGGACGAATTCTTCGAGGACTGCTTGTGGGAATTCTCGAACAAGTGAACGTAAACCTGAACAACTGGAATGATAGGTGAACGAACCGTGGACATTGGTATTTAATGATCCAATGAACGATTTTCCAGGCAGTTCAGTTCGGAACTTCAGAGGCTACTGCCTTTTGCCCCTCAACAGCGAGTGAAGATAGCGCTGCGACCGTCACAAACCGAGGGATCGCCAACCGCTGCGACCGTACCAAAGCGGGGGATCGTCACCAGTAGAAGGGGCTCATCCATCTAGGGACGACACACGTCAACGGCCTTGCATCAGATTCACAGAAATGAAGACTGATTTTGTGAGAAATCACAAGATGTTTCGGAGCATTAGTGGTCAGTGTTGACGAACGTTTCTACGAGACTGAACAAAACTAACTCAAAACTTTTCACCCTTCTCAGAACAATTCTGCCCTTCGCTTGGCAAAGTTCACCAAATCTGATATGGCATGATAGAATGTCAGGATAGATCCTAGCGGAAGACTGACGTAAGAGAAAGTATCTCAACCGGACAAATTCTGTTCACAGGGGGCTAAATTTCATTCCACTTTTTCATCGCATCAATTATGTTGGCTTGTAAGTGAATTCCCACAAGCAATCCGATAAGAATTTCTTAGAATAGAAGAGAGATTTCATGTGGTCTAGCCATTTAGTTGTGGTCGGAGGCGATTCAGGGTTCAGAAGTAGAAATTGTACTTGCTAGATCAGTCTAGGCATGTCTGACTAAGTTCGAGTATTTCAGCAACTTTCAAAAACCACGGAACCCAAGCTTTCGTCAACGTTCATCTCAGATTGGCAGTGGTGGCCACCCACGGCGCCTTCCAGCCCAAACTGGATCTTTGCCTTGAAGAGCCAGGGGTGCGCTTTCCAGTCAGTTGCTGGAAAAGAGCTTACCAGAGAAGAATAGGTTCCACTCCCGCACGAGAACACGCCCTTCTGCCTAATTCTTCCCTGCGAGCTAGGGTCTTATTCAATACAAACGAGTTCGAGTTGAAGGCAGGGCCCGCGATCAGGTATAGAAGTTAAAAATGTGGGCTTAGGAAAGGACAGGTGGCTCGCGTCCGAACACCCGTGTACCGCGTTTGGAGGCAAAAAATGTGATGGAGGGACGCTATAACACAATTATAGCGCTTCAGTGACGCCTTCCTTCTACTCCAGTTGACTCTGCCTCACAGAGTAACCTTCCGAGCCGCCCTTTCAGTGAACAATGAAGCTGCAGGACGATAAGGCATGAAATCGTCACTTGTACGGTCTTACAGCTCCCATTGGGGGATTAACTGTGCCGATGGGGGGCCGTAGGGCTGGCGCAGATGGAATAATGAGCACGCCTACAAATAAGATCGAAAAAATGGTCGATCCAGGGCGTTGGCACATTATCTGCTTTATACTTCACACAGAGTTATCTCATGTTGATTTTTGTGATCCTTTATCGACTACCTGCAATGGCGAATGGTCGCAGGGGTTCTGCCGCGGTTTTGCCCCTTTTCGAGCAAATTTTTGCTTTCCATTTAATTTCTCCTGTTTTTCTTTCTCTCGAGTGCAACTGCAGGGATTTGTATGAGACACTTCTATGCCCTATTTCATTAACTACCTAATTTTAGGTTCGTTTAATTTGCAATTGTTCTCAGGTGTTCCGCCGATGGGACTCGGCATGGGTTTAGGAATGGGCATGCTCAACAATCCATACGGGTACGGCGACTACTACTACCGATGTAGAAAGTACGATAACACACTTTTCCGTTTACTAACAACGATTCTAAAAACCAAGTATGTGCATGATAAAGTGGGCGAAGTCATCTGGAGCACCACGCGCCCTTGTCAATGGTGATTTCCTTGTGAAATGACGAAGATGGTGGACTACAAAGGTGCAGTGGCTCGTGTCATTGGCTCGAGTGATTCCGCCCATCAGCGCTGATTGTGCCTTTAAGGACGAAGTGTACACCCACCTCCGTGGATCATGGTACTTGCCGCGTGTGGGAGAATGGGTCTGCAGCTGCAGTACCCTCATACCTTCCCCGGTTAAATGTGCACGGAAACGGGCTGGAGGGTAGTGATAACCGGGTGCCGTCTCCATATTCAGTACGGCCATATTCAGCACAGCACGCTGCAGCACGGCCAGTCACGTGCTCAAGCATAGCCCAACGCGTTAGTCGTCTGCGCCCTCTCACTTCTGCTTGTTCTCAATCTCAAACTGTGTGCTTATTGTGGGATTCTGGTGCCAGCGCAAGTGCTGCACCATGAGGATGGGCTGTATCGGGAGACGGCATCCGGGTATCACTGCCCTTCAGCCCCATTCTCGTGCACTGTTGATGGGGGGGGGGGGTGAGGCTGCTTTCACTCTACACATGGCAAGGGCCGTCTTCGGCTGGGTGTACACTTTGCTACTGGGCAACGTCTGCTTGAAATACTCAATATTCGCTCGCCAAAAATTATTTTCAGTAAATTGATCATTTCAGTTTAATGGGCGGCGGTATGTACAATCCGTTGATGTCACCGATGATGGGGAAGAAGTAACGCCTAGCTTTTATGTTGGTTTATGTGTATGTATTGATTCTCATCTATTGTTTAAGAAATCTATAAATACAATAATGAAGCTACTCTAAGGTACAACAGATAAAGAGAGAAGCTTGTCAATTCAGGAGCTTCCATCAGATACTTGAAACGAAAGTAACAAATGAGTTTTTCCAAGAACTAGTATTTTTCATGGGCGTGGGATCTTCGTCGATGGAAGCGGGCTGTATTTGTGAGATGAGTTAAGGGGGGGGGGTCATAAGTGGGGGTCACTTCACAGAAAATCAGCGGAGCGATGTTCTCACCAATGTGGTCTGGGAGTGCGATCACGCTGTAGAATATTAAGGTGCGAAGATCACTACCCAAATATAGCACAATTTCTGAGAGATTACTTCCTTCTGTTTTTATGGTGCTACTTTCTTTTCACTGCACCACTCTCCAAAGTTCTGGTCACTTAGATATGGGAGGGGGGGGGGTGGAGGGTGTGCACAATGTCGGACAGTGTACCGAGTTCAATGTTCAAGCCGTGAATTTGTACAGTGCTGGGTCTGCGAACCAAAATCAGAGCCTACGTTCCCTTATGATTATCCAAACTCTTCATTAGTTGAGGTAGTGTGAGGGAGTTGGGTTGGCACGCGCCGGACTAGTGGATCGTAGTTCACACGCTCCCGGGTAAATGTCTTGCTATGCCGTCTTGCTCCTTTCATGCTCTTTTTCTGTTCCTGGCCTCTAGTCGAATCTTAGTCCATCGCCAATATTGTCTGAAATTCGACCCATCTACTCGATTTTTGAAAACCAATGCGCAAAAGGCGGGCCCGAAACCCGACTGGTGCAATGGAAAGAGGGGCCCGATAACAGGGCACGCCATTGCGTTGTGATCATTTCCTGAAAAATACGACCCCCCCTAATTCCATCTTCAAGTACGACCCCCCTCCCCATGTTACCTCTTCCCTATTTTTTCCAACCTCCTACCACTTTGTCTATTTTTTCCAAAAAGTTTCTAGCGCTTTTTTATCAAAATTTTGCTGTTCAGAGCGGGGGTGGGGGGGTTGGTAGCCAGTACCTACGTTCGTCAAGCACGTCCAGACGTCCAGCACTCTGGCGCTGGTGTAGCATACTGACAATACCTACGAGGAAGGGGCGATGATAGGAGCTACCATCACCGCCCACAAGGACACCATGAATTTATAAATGGGAAAGGACTTACGACTGACGATGAATAAACAGAGGAAAGTACATTCCCGGACTTTTCTGATTGCAGGAGCACATTTTGCTTGTAATTGGGAAGCCCTATCTAGAAGTTCCAACTTCCAAACACCTGCGTGAAATCCTATGCCATGCGCATTGCCAGAGTGGATTGCTAATTGGCGCCCACGCTATTTCCTCACACCCTTTGGGTAAAACAGTGTTTTTAGAAACATTACCAATTTCAAGCAACCTGGTGAGTTTCATTGTGGTCTCGGGAGGGTTGATTTTTCGTGTCGGGGGTGATGGTTACGAAATGATCACAACGGGGAATTTTTTCGAATAGCAGGCCTAGGAAGAAAATTAAAGCCTTGCTGGAAAGTAGAAATCTTCAAGCTTCCGGCACAATTCTTTTTTTTACGAAAGGCCGTGTATGAAGCTTGCCATGGACGTCCAAAGCGTAGCGACTCGCGGTTCGCAAAAATGATCACAGACGGATCACAAAGATGATCACAACGGGGAAAATCTCTGGAACCGGAACGTTTTTGAAATCGCTCAATTCAGGTGATAAGAGCCAACCTAGCTCTACTCATTCCCGTTTACCCTCTCAATAGCTTCACTTTCAACGAAGTTGATGGGTTTCACATGGGTTGACTTTTCAGGCGTGTTTGGCTTTGAAATGCCTCCACAACGATAAAAATAGCGCGCACCAATGCGCTTGTATGAGCGCGCTGACCGCGAACAGCCAAAATTCAAAAGTAATCCATAGTTCCGGTTCCCAGCTGGCCTGGTGAGTATTTTTTCTTATCCATTTGATTGTTAATTATTTTGATTGTTTGTTTTTTAAGTTTGATTTTGTTTTGTTGAGTTTGATTTTGTTGTGAGGAAATTGCTCAGGATTCAATTTCTACGGTTTCATAGGTAGCTTTTGCAATGGATTCTTTTCTAGATTTTGCGGATTAGTGGATTGGGATTTATCTGGACCAGATGAGGAGGGTTGGTGGGCGAAGTGTCTAAAGTTTTTTTGTGAGGAAGGAGGAAAAAGTTTCCGCAATATTTTTTTTAGTTCTTGGCCTAGGAATAGTTCGATAGTGCCTAGTTCTATTTGTTGTCATCTACATCGTCCCTTTTGAGCTTCTTTTCACTTGTACCGTGTATCACCGCTCTCCACTTCAACATGCCAGCGTTTACGATCCCCCTACCCCCATCGCGGGGCCAAATACGACCTCCAACGCTTCGTGTGCTCATGGTCACAAAGATGTTCGAACAGCACAATTGCGGGGCCATTTGCGAATAATCGTTTTCTTCTTGGATGAATCAGTTGGCCTGGTTCCCTAAGGCCACATTTTGGCTAACAAGGGAGTCGTTCAGGCGTCGTGAGCCTTTTTCAAAATGATCATGTCATATTGTAGGGGCAGCATTTAGTAGGACAATGCAAGAAAACTGAGGTTCATTTTCGCTGCGCGCTTCTACGAATAAAAAAAAACGTAAAAAATAGGTCGATGGTTCGGATCCCACCGAGGACAAAATTTTGCTTTTCTACAATTTTTCATTTTTGGATCCATGTTTGTCTAGATAATTGGTCCTAACGAAAACATTCACGATAAACTGAACAATCCTACTTTTATGTAGCAAAACTGTTTTTTCGTTCGAATTAGTTAGTATGCACAGACTCAGCTCTTCGCCACCGGCCAGATGGCACTGAAACCGAAAATAAAGTCTAGAATCGTGATCAGCACTGTCAATTACCCCTAGGAGCAAGTTTTGAGCGAAAAATTTTTTTTGACTTTTTCGGGTCGTAGGTGACGACCATTTGGTCGGCAGTGTGAGCGGAGTCTCTCATCTTCGTAACAGCGATGACGTATCGTTGACGCTACGGACCCCGGACAACCCAGTAAGCAAACCCAAGAAGTCAAAACAATTGTTTTGACCAAAAATTCGTTTTTAGTGGTAATCAGTGGCCCTTGTCACAAATATAACACCTATTCTTGGCGTCCACGCACTTTAACGACAGAATAGCGGTGAACGTTCCCTATATTGGTTTACATAACGAATTCATTGGAAAGAAGATGTGGCCCCAATTGTCTATAAACCACCACCAGAAGTTACTAAATTCGCAATCAGATCCACTGTATAGCCTATGAGGATCAACGTCCAGCAACAATCTTGTTCAATGGTGCGTGAAAATCGAAATAGTTGAACAGCACTGACTCGTGGGGTGGAGCTACTCAGAATGTGCCCATAAATGGCAAATATCCGAGTTATGTTCATGCGCAGACACTAATGGAAGCGAAAACAGCGAATCAAAAAAAATTGCAGGAGAACACCTCGACGCAAGGGGAGCCGAACCATCAACCCCACCCTCACTGTCCGATTGCGAAACCTCCTCTCTATCCGCTAGGCCATCCGATGCTCGACTCTGTGCAGCGCTCTTATCCTTGATGAAACCACTGCAAGAAGCCGTTCACCCTTGAGCATGTGACCCAAGTTGGAAGCTCATTTGCGGCGATTTTTCGCTTCGATTCAAATAGCCCCTTTATAAGGACCCCCACTCAGCAACTGGTCAAAGTTGCAAGTGACCTACGCCGTAAAGAGGCCCAGAACGAAGCAGATTCCAAAGATTTCTTTTCACTCGTTTTTTACCTTTCCTGGAAAGCGCGCAGCGGAAAATGAAGCACACTTTTCAGGTCCTTGAATGAGCCCCTAAAATATGAAAAAAAAACCGTTTTCGAAAAGCGCACCACGCCCTGAACGACCTCCCTTGTAAGTTGAACGAACAGATCTTATTTATGGGCTCGCCAGTTGCAGAGATCGCAACTTTCGACTATGAAGAGCATTTCGGGACACATTTAATTGGAACTGCCGGGCGGCTACTGGTTACTCAACGGCATAAGAGTTTATATATTGCCTGTGGGCGGAATTAGTCTATTCCAAGTCTCGCTGAGATCATCGGTTGCACTCAGCTCTCCGCCCAAGCCTCCATCTCCGTTCATTTTGAGTAGAGTCCTGGCCAGCCAATGATTTCCACTCTAGACGCTATTGCTGGCCTTATAATAAACATACGTCCACCATAATTTCACCAGATCTTTCGTTGTTAGATTGAAATAAACTGCCTAAGAGACGTCGTCCCACGCTTACTCTTCCGTGAATCTCACAGCCAATCATCAAATAATTTCTTTTAGAGTTATTATAGAGGTTCTTATGCTTTCGCTGTGATGTCCACCCGCCCATGAAAAATTCCATTTCATTACGCATCGGATCCTCTCTAACCAAATAATTGGATAACGAGGGCTTCCGTTCTTCCTGTATGCTGCAAGTTCTTCTCGTTAGAGAACGCTCAGTCAGCTCCTCCTTTTGCCACTCTCAAAATCCCCATCATTAGGGTGTTTGTCACCTGGGAATTGTATAATACGGTTCTCATTAAAGGAATCCTCTAGTGTAGCATTTCTCCTCGCTGTTTTGCTTGTAGCAGCATGCCTGAGACCTCCCACGTGGGCCCCATGAATAGAAGGAAGTTCACCCTCTTCATGTCTTTGATCGCATTGCTTCTCTCCGCATACTCATTAGTCCATTACTTCAGATTTAGCTTGATCGCGGTCCTCTGATGACGTAAGTAGTTCTGCAAAATATGTCCGCGATTAATGTCCGACTAATAAAGGTCTCGTGATTTTGCAGACCATATTTGCATTGAGAGTTTCTAAGAACCTCTTCACAAGAATTCAGTAAGAATTTAATTAACTTCTGGAAGAGTGCTAAAAGAAAGGATGTTCGAAAAATCATAGAGCAGAACCTGCAATGTGCTTCCTGAAAAGCCAAGA